GGGTAGTCAGAACTGGAAACCCTCCTGGCCCTGATGAGGGCCTTCTAGCAGAATTTTGCCTGGGCTGTAAGCTCCTAGGGCACCCACGAACCAGAGTCGCAGGAGAGCTCTGGGTTCTGGGAAAACAAAGTCACGGACAGGTTGGAACTGAGGGGCTGGAGGGAAGAAAAGTGGGGGTCTTTAGTGGGTGACAGTGGAAGACAGAGCAGCGTTGTTTGCAAACCTGGTACCTCCTCCTGCTACTCAGCAGTTCCAGTGACCCTTGCACTGGGCCTGACTTCCAGGCATTTGGGCTGTTTACTCTTATCACAGAGATGTGGACAGACTGGGGCCTGTGTACAGAGGCCCTCGGGAGCTCACCCTGCCCCTCTTGTGATCCAGAGCAGTGGCCAGGAGCCTGAGGACAGCCCGTTGACCATACATGTGCTTGACACTGCCTCTGGGCTCCCAATCCCCGGCCTCTGCCTCCATTTGTCCCAGCTTGAAGACCTCAGCCAGCAGTGGACAGAGCTAAGAAAAAGGTAGGAGGTAGGCCCTGGGGATGGGAGGGAATCTAGAGCACCTGCTCCTCCAGCACCAGCCCTTCCTGAGTCCCACCCTGGGACACATCCCAGACAGTCCAGGAGTGAGGGCACTGAGGCCTAGAGGACAGAGATGACTGCTGCTCAACTGCCCCCTCAGTCTGGGGGCCCACAGGTTCACAGCCTGGCCCCTCCCTACTGACTCTCTCAGCTTCACTTTCCTCACTGAAAACCAGAGGACAATGGAAGTAGACGTCTCACCAGGTGTGAGCATCCTGGGACAATGCCATAGAATGGGCTGAGGCCTGCTGGGGTAGGGGCAGTGTGTGTTTCCTTGCCACCATGCCCATGGCCTGAATTAATACCCGAGGTGGCAGCTAAAAGGCCTCACTGTCCGCCTGGTTAACAGCAGGCTGAACACCCAATTTCTGCTTTTATTCTCCGTATACCCTCTGGGTAGGAAACAATAATTACCATTTTACAGATGGGAAAACAGGTAGGATGAAATAAAAGCTGGGCTTCCTCAGCCTGATGTGCTCACAGAGCCCAGGCCTTGGGCCCCTGCTCCCTGCACAGGCTCTGCTGGAGAAAACCCTTGAGTTTGGCTCTATGAGTGGGTTTCACAAACCCTCCATCTTGAAGGAGGCAGGCTCCAAGCTTCAAGAGACTCTCTTCCAGCCTGGGAGTGGGTGGGCAGCGGGAGCAGGTTACAGAAAGGAGGATAGGCGCTACAGGTTCAGGGTCAAGGATGGGGCTTGTTTTCTACCTGTTCAGCTTTTCACAAAAGTCAGGGGGTGCCATGCATAAGGGTGCACATCTGTAATCCCAGCAATTCTGGAGGCTAATGCAGGAGGATAGCTAGTTCGAGGCCAGTAACAGCAATTTAGTGAGACCCTGCCTCAAAATAAAAATTAAAAGACTGGATATAGCTCAGTGGTAAAGCACCCCTGGGTTAAATCCCAGTAATAAAAAAAGAAATGAAAAGTTTGGGGATGAGGGACAAGATCTCATCTGAGCATTACTTCAAGTCAGCATGGCACTGCGCAGACCTGGCGTCCCACCCACCACAATGTGCACGTGCTTCCTCTGCCCCTCACCAGTGAGACACGCTTTACAGTCCAGCTGGTCACATGATGTGGGGTTTTGAAAAGGAGACTTAGCCAAACCTTTAGAACTCTCCATGAGGGATCAGCCCACTCCATGTGGACCCTTTGTGCTGTTGGAAATGGGCCACCATGTAGATAGGCAGTTATTGACCCAGAAAGCCACACACAACACACTACGTGAAAATACAGCTTATGAAACATGAATAATTTGTTTTGTAAAAATGTTTGTAAATACAGGCTGGGGTTATGGCTCAGTGGTAGAGCTCTCACCTAGCCATGTGTGAGGCACTGGATTCAATCCTCAGCACCACATAAAGATAAATAAAGGTATTGTGTCCATCTACAACTAAAAAATATTTTTAAATGTTTGTAAATAAACATAGTTAAGCTTAGAAAAAAATCTAAGAAAAACATGCCAAATTTGAAGTGATTATTGCTCATAGGTTAAACTGGGAGATTTTTCCCTTTTTGCTTCTTTATTGATTTCTTAAAGAGGCAGTGCAACAATGTCTCTAGAAACTGCCCCACAATCTCTGTTCAGCCATGTCTGCATCAGCCTGCACAGTGTCTGAGGCCAGGGGGTCAGACCCAGGGGGGATGGGGAAGGGTGGCTCCACATCTGACCTCAGCAGCCCATCCTCTCCCCAGCTACACAGACCCAGATGGCCACTGCCCTGGGCTCCTGAGGACAGGCCAAATGAAGCCAGGCACCTATAAGCTGTCCTTTGACACAGAGGGCTACTGGAAGGAGATGGGGCAGGAGAGCTTCTACCCATATGTAGAGGTGAGTGCCATGGCAGGTGGAGAGGGTGGAAGCCCTGACTCACTGACCTGCAGGCCAGGCTTCATGGGCAGACTGGTCCCACTTCTCTCAGGGAGGTGGCAGGCACATGAGTTTGCCTGCTTTGAGTTCCTACAAGAAAGGGGTCCTGGGACCTGGGGCATCAAGAGACTCCGTGTCAACATGCCCATCCATGAGCATCCATGAGTCAGGCTTGGGGGGGTGATTCACCCCCTCTTCATAGATAGTTTCCATCTACACCAACGCTAGCTCCTGGGCCTTCCCTTACTGCTCCCCCCACCCCCTCCACCTGGCTTTTTCCACATCCAGCATGCCCGGAGGAGGACTCAGCCCTCAGGAAGCTTCTAATCCACCACTGGGTTTCAGCTAACCCTTCCCCACCATCCAGGCCGCTTTCCCAGGGAGCATTGAGGGCAGGTGGCTCCTGTGCTGTGGTCCCTCACTGTCTTCTGGTGCCTTTCTGCTTCTCTCAGATTGTTTTCACCATCATCAATGAAACCCAGAAGTTCCACCTGCCTCTGCTGCTGAGCCCATGGTCCTATACCACCTACAGAGGGAGCCAGAGCTAGAGGGCAGCTATGACTCCGGTGGATAAAGCCAGTGCTGCATCCACAGACCTACTCCTGATGGGTTGCCGTGATTCAGGTCAATAAACTCTGGTTGCATCTGCAGTGCTTGTGTCCCAGCCAGAGTGTGGGTAGGTTACCTTGGATCCTCCCAGCCCTTCCTCAATCATAAATGAATCCTGTAGAGTTGGCTTCTTGATAGCTCTTAGACCTCTGCTCCTCACCCATCCCAGCCTGGCCTGCTGTCTGGCCCTGTGTTCCCCATCTGATCCTCATACCAAGACTCCTTCATGGTTTCCATCCAGCCCTACACACTGGGGTTTGGCAGATGCCTTTTACAATCACCCTCAGCCCTGCATCCCGAGAGCTGGGTGTTCCCCAGGCAGCTCAGGGGTTGCTCACCTCAAAGGCTAGTATGCAGCCTTGGTCAGGATGGTGAGAGTGGGTGGGCGGGTGGTACAGCAAACCCAGCTGGAGTGCTGTAAACAGGGATGAAGAACCTTTACACACAGCTAATCCTTTGGTCCTGGAATTTTTGTGTTGGGCAGAAGGCATTAATGGTCAGCCAAACTGTGTGCTGATGAATCACCTTGGAAAAGCTACCTGTGGTACTTCTCAGAATGAAAACACCTCCACAGATGGTGAGGGACCCTCAAGTCCATGCTGCACATCTGCCTCTCTGCAGCAAGCCTGGCACCAACAACAGAGATGCCTGTGGGTGGAGGCTCTGAGCCTAGGAAATACATTTAGGATCCCAGCAGTGAAGCAAGATGTAAGGCACAGTTGGGATTGCAGACATTCTTTAAGCCAGGCACAGTGACGCATGCCTGTAATCCCAGCAGCTCGGGAGGCTGAGGCAGGAGGATTGTGAGTTCACAGCCAGCCTCAGCAACTTAGCAAGGCCCTAAGTAACTCAGCAAGACCTTGTCTAAAATATAATATAAAAAGGGGTGGGAGGACCTGGGGTTGTGGCTCAGCGGTAGAACGCTTGCCTAGTATGTGCAAGGCACTAGGTTCAATCCTCAGCACCACATAAAAAATAAAATAAAGGTATTGTGCCCAACTATGACTAAAAAACAAACAAAAAGGTTTGGGGATGTGACTCAGTGGTTAGGCACCCCTGGGTTCAATCCCCAGTATCAGAAAAAAAAAAAAAAGTATAACAAATAGATATTCTTTATTCAGAGGCAGCGGCAGCCCCCAGCACCACCCCCATTTTGCCCCGAGTCCTTCCATAGACCTTTTTTTTTTTTTAAATGCAAGCCAGACAAAGAAGTCACATTGTCCACAGGTTACATAAGTGGGTGCAGGTTCACAGACAAATGTCTACAACCTTGAGTACATACACTGAATCAGGGTGCTCATGACCTTGGCTACATACTAAATACATAACCCAATGAAATCTCCACAAGGGAGCCTGACTATAGCCATCTTGGGTCTGCCCTACATGTCCTTGCCCTAGAAGCATCTACCCCTTGATGAGCTGGCCTCCCCTCAATGGGCCTGTCAAAGGCTCAGAACCAGCTGTTTCTAACTCAGGAGCAGCAGCCGTGTCTAGGAGGTGACACTGTGTTTGTCTCCAAGGGCTCCAGTACAGCTGCACCTGGACGCTAGCCATGGCCTGGAAGCCACCAGTCAACCCAGCTGGTGTCGTCAAAGACCCCTCACCCTGTGTCACCTGTTTCTTCTGTAACTGCTCCAGACAGGTGGATGGAGCAGAAGGCCTGGCCAAGCACTAGAAGCTTGACAGGCAGGTGTCAGAGGAACCAGGAAGTTCTGTTGGAGGTTCCAGCTTCCTGATTCTTCAGCTGAGAACCTCCTGTCCTCAGCTGGCCCTTGGGGGTCGAGACCTCACCAATTTTGTTTACTGCTATTCCCACCCATGCCCAGGACAGTCCTAGCAGAGCAGTGCCACATGGAGGAGTGGATGTTTTGAGTTCTGCTCAGACCTCACTCCCCCAGAACTCAGGAAGAGAGTAAGGGGCATGTAAGTCCCTGGTACCCACAGCCTACATGTTTCCCATTGTTAACTGTATGCCTACCAAACCAAGCATCCTGGGGCCTCCTAGTGCTGTGCCCACCCCCCAGGCCTGTGTCTAAGTCCATCATCAAGTGACTGAGGGACTTGGGCCCACAGATTCCAAGAGCACCTTTTCTGCTCCCAGGACATCTTTGGGCTCTACTTGGTGACAGGAGCCTGGCATACCACAATGAGCCACTGGAAAACTGGAATTGCAAGGCTGAGAGGTTATGAGGTGCCATGAGGTTAAGGAGGGGTCAGCAAGACCCAAGAGCAAGCAAAACCCCTGAAAGGAAACTGCTGGCACACGCAGGCCTGAGGCACAGATACCTGCAGCACCCTTGCCCTGCTCTCAGGTTTCAGGAAACCCTCCTCCAGGGGTAACTGAGAGGTCACCTCTGTGCTTATCTCAGGGGGCAGAACACAGAACCAAAGGGTCCCACCACAGGAGACAAGGCCATTTACTGTGGGTAGGAGGGGGGCAGCCACCAGCCCTGCCCCAGGAACCCCTAAGTCTACCTCAAGCTTGCGGGACATGAGCCTCAGTACTGCAGGATCTATGCTGGAGGTCACCAGTGCTTTGGTGAACTACACCTCCCTCTTCTCCATGGCAGTATTCAGTGCCTGCAGTTGGCACTCCAGCACCAGGTTCCAGAAGTCTGTCTTCTGCCTCACTTCCGGGATGGCCACTATGAACTTCCAGTAGAGCTCATCCTGCTCCTGCCACATCTGTGCAGACTAGACTGTGAAGGGCCACAAGTTCCTCACCCAGGATGTCTCCCTGGGGAGAAGCCACTTCCCACCTCTGCCCCTGTGTGGGGCACACTGCCTCTATAATGGCACACATTTTCACTAGTGCCCCAGTCCGTGGCATATGGGTAAGTGTGCTCTTCACACTGCCTGCACTCCACCCTCTGTGCACGAAATTAAAGGTGTATAGCTGTCTACACAGTGGGAGACAGGAGAAACATTAACATGAGCCCTCCTTCAGGAAACAATGGGGTGTCCTAGTAGGAGCTGAGCAGCCCCACCCTGAAAGCTGCTCTACAGATGGGGCAAGGCCAGCCTTGCCTGAGTTAAGGCTGTGGGCTTAGGTGAGATGTATCCCTGATCGCCCCGAAATGAGAGCCAGGGCATCATACTACCAGCAGGCAATGTTTGCAAGAGGGTCCTCAGAAACTCTACCTGCCTTCAAAATGCCCCACAGGGCAGGTGTAGAGCAAGCCTCACAACAACCACCTGCTGACCAGTAGGACTGTCCCTTCTCACCTTCTACCCTTCTTTTTCTTAATAAGAATTAGAAAACATTGAGACTTTATAGTGAAAGTAAACACCTCTCTAACCCCAATTCCTGGAGGCCACCATGTAATCATTCAGTGACCCTTTTCAGAATGTTCCCTACAGAAGTAAAAATATTTATTCTTACTAGGAAGGAAACAGGATTGTGCTGTCACACTGCAGCTTTCCACACGGAAGTGTTCCTTAGAGCACAGCCAGGGCAGCACATGCATGATCCCATATCCCCAACTACTATACAGAGTCCCACAGACCTGCCCACAACTGCTGAGAGCCACAGCCGAGTCAGAATGGCCCCTGGCATTTTGCCAGAAGTAATGGTTGAGAGGTGAGCCATTAAGATGATGGTATTAAGTTAAGCTTAATTATAATTGCTGTGACTGGATGATGCTGGATTGAAACAGGCTGTGTATTCAATTGTATATTAGACCTTTACTGTCCGCCTCAGGCACCCATTGAATTCTCGTGGGGGTTTCGAGAGTGAGTGCGTTCTCTCCTGGAACACCACAGCCCGGTGGTGTTCCAGGAAGGAGTTCCGGTTGGTGTGTGGTGTGTTCCTGGAGGAGCCGTGTGGGTGGTATTCGGGAGAGTTCCCGGGGAGTGTGCTGGTGGAGATCAGAAATAAACTTTGTTCCTGCTTGAGTGGCTCGTGATTTGTGCCCAGCCAGACCGCGGCATACAACCAATCCCGTCAGCAGATTCAGCTGACAAATCTGAGCTCCACACCTCACTCACCTTGAACCACTGCTGCAGCTGCATACCTCTCAGTCTTTCTTTGGATCTTAAAATGTGATTTCATGTGCTGGAGAACAGAGAGTGGGGGATAGAAAGCATTCATGATTTACAGGCTTCTGGGAGACAGCAAGACCAGAAATAATGGCTAGAAGCAACTGGCTTGAAGACTCCAGGAGCTGGGCCCCACCTAGGCCAGACAGTGGGATATGTGGAAGAACAAGGCCTCATCTCCCTCAGCACCCACCCACTATTGAGCCTCAGAATAGTCAAAGGAAAGAGAGATCCAGCATCCCCATCTCTCCCTTCCTGCCCTAAGGGCTGAGCCCTACTTAGGAGATATCCTCAGATATGCCTTCTTTCCTGAGCCCAGGAGAGCATGTGTCATGGAGATAACAAACACATCAGGTCACTCATAATCATGATCTGCCTGTCCCTTTCATAGTTCCCAACCCTCCTCTGCCTTTCTCACTCATCTCCTGTGACTGAGCACCTCAGCACCCAGCTGGAGAGTGTAACTCAGTCACCCATAACCTTGGCCTCCCACATATTCCCCCTTTCTTAATATAAAAAAAGAATGTAACTGGGAAATTTTCTTTCAGTCACTTGGCTCTTGGTCCAAGGTCATCACAATCTGCTATTGAAACACAAAAAGAATTAGTAGAAAACATATTATCTTCATAACAGTCAACACAATAATCTGGATGATTATTACCTTGCCAAACACTCATCAGAAGATTTTTGATCTTTTCCCAATTTTATTGGGACGCATTGTTTTTGGCCATAGTAACAGACATTTTCATTGCCATGGCATTTAGGCCTCTCCATAAACCATAGAGCAAAGGGCTCACGCACATTATTCATTACATTGTCTTCTAGAACATCATTACTTAGTTCTCATCCTTCCATCAGCACTTATCTGACCATGAAGGAAGTTGGATATAATTTAAGTCAA